TCTGCAACGTTCATAGCAGGGGATGGGGGGGGGGTGAGGGTAGAGGTAGGGAGGAGGGTGGTCACGATGGGCGGGGATTGAGGGCGGGAGTGGGGAGGAGTGAGGGGGGGGGAAAGAGAGCAACTCCCCCCCCTCCCCCCCATTACCACCAACTTCCAACCACCATCCTCTCCCGTCCCCCCCCCCCCCACACACTAATCAATGCTGAACTCAATGGCTGAGAAGACATCAATCTGCCCCAAGACACACACACACACACACACACACACACACACACTCACACACACACACACACACAAACAAACACACACACACAAACACACACAAACAAACACACACACGAAACGCACACAGTTGCAACATCGCAACAAAACACGAACCAACGCGTGCCTTATGGGGGACACAGAACGAGACAAATGCCGACACCCACACGAGGCGACAAGTGGGTAAACAACAATGAGAGGAGGGAGAGGGAGGGGGAGAGGGGGAGAGGAAGGAAGGGAGGGGGAGAGGGAGAGGAGGAAGGGAGGGGGAGGGGAGAGGAGGGAGGAGGCGAGGGGATGGGAGGGAGGGGGAGAGGGAGGAAGGGAGGGGGAGAGGGAGAGGAGAGGAGGGAGGGAGGGAGAGGGAAGGAGAGGGAGGGGAGAGGGAGAGGAAGGGAAGGGAGGGAGGGGGAGAGGAGAGAGAGGGATGGGAGGAGGGGAGAGGAGGGAAGGGAGGGAGAGAGGGAGAGCGAGGGGATGGGAGGGAGGGGGAGAGGGAGGAAGGGAGGGGGAGAGGGAGAGGGAGAGGAAGGGAGGGAGGGAGGGAGGGAGAGAGAGAGAGAGAAACAAACATACAGACACACACAGACGTAGAAACAGAGAACAAGAAAAAAATAAGAACAGAAACGCAGGACAAACGAACAAACACACCAACATCACAACCCAAACATACAAACAAGAAATCAAGACCCAATCAATAAACAGGTAAACAAACCCCCCAACGCAACAGGTGGGAGACGGGGAAGTCGATCACCGGAAGTGCGACCGGAAAGGAGGAAAAACACAAGATGAAATAAAGGAAAAAGGAAAGAATTGAAGGAAGGAAGAATATGAATAGGAAAGAGGAAAAAGGGAAAGCAGAGGAGAGAAAAGAAGATGGGAAATGAAAGAAAGAAAGAAAAGGGAAGAGGAAAGAAGGAAGGAAGGGAAGGAGACAAGAGAGAGGGAGGAAAAAAAGGAAGATAAATTTAGGAAGACCGGAAGGGGACAGAAAAGAAAAATATAACAACAACAACAACAGCAACAATAACAATAGTAATAATAAAATAATAATATTTAATAGTAACAATAACAGTAATAAGGATGATGATGATGATGATGATGATAATAATAACAATAACAATAATAATAACAATAACTACAACAACAACAACTACATCAGAAACAGCACAACAAGATATCTATAAAACCATTAAGAAAGATCAATAATAGATACATATTGAAAAATTCAATATGAAAATCAAGAAAAAGAGAGTGGGAGAGAGAGGGGGAGAGAGAGAGGAGAGAGAGGAGAGAGAGAGAGAGAGAGAGAGAGAGAGAGAGAGAGAGAGAGAGAGAGAGAGAGAGAGAGAGAGAGAGAGAGAGAGAGAGAGAGAGAGAGAGAGAGAGAGAGAGAGAGAAGAAGAAGAAGAAGAAGGAGAAGAAGAAGAAAGGTGCTCAGAGACAGAGAAAAAAAAGAGGAAGACAAAGAAAAAATAAAAGAGAGAGAATGAGAAACTATTTCAGACGGAGAAAAAGGAAACGAAGAGAGAAAAGGGAGAAAGAGACAGAAATCAAAGGCCAGGTAATGACAGACCCGAGCGAAAGAGAGAACAGAGTGAAACAGACACAAGAATCCGAACAAAAACAAGAAATAGCAAACACACGAAGAGAGAAAGTCCAACGAAGGGGAGAAAGTTATCGGAAAAGAATTAAGCAACTGCGAATGGCGAAAGAGAGGAGAAAGGCAAAATGCAATAAAGAGCAACTGCTTATGGCGAAAGAGGGAGAAAGGCAAAATGCAATAAAGACCAACTGCGGATGGCGAAAGAGAGGAGAAAGGCAAAATGCAAAAAAAAGGAGAGCACCTGCAGATGACGAAAGAGGGGAAAAGGCAAAAGGAAGCGAAGAGCATTTTCACTATCCTCCTCCTCATCATCATCAATCACAGGCAACATCACAATCCACACCACCATCACCATCACCACCCACACGCATCACCACCGTCACCATCACCACCCACGACTCACAACGAGCATCACCCACGAGAACCAAAACTCGAAGACACTGTTGAACCGCGGGCGTGAAGGAGCGCGGGCGTGAAGGGGCGCGGGCGTGAAGGGGCGCGGGCGTGAATGTAGGTTGCATGAAAGCGAAGTCGGAAGACAGAACGCCGCCCGTTTCCGAAGCATCGCTTAGCTCGCTCTGCATCAATGCGTGTATGGTATGTACATGTATGTGTGCATTTACGTATATATGTATATATGTATGTATGTATGTATGTATGTATGTATGTATGTATGTATTATATGTATGTCTGTCTGTATGTATTATATGTATGTCTGTCTGTATGTATGCATGTTGTATGTCTGTATGTCTGTATGTCTGTATGTCTGTTTGTCAGTCTGTCTCTCTGTATACATGCAAATAGGTAGGTACAGTATGTATGTATGTTATCCACATGCGCACGATCGCTCGTGGAAACATTCCAAATATACCTACAATAATGACCATAATGCGAATGTGTGTGGATACATACAACTAACCGCTATATTAACCTACATAAACAAATATGAATATATATATATATATATGAGCGAGCACGCACAAACACACGCACACACGCACATGCCACACGTGTCAAATGATCGAACTCAATGTCAGGAAACTGGGTCAACGCTACGACACCGTCCGCCTCGAACAGGTGTCATAGCGAGGCCCAGACGCATCCCTGATGGGGGTCGGGGGGGGGGGGGGGGGGGGAGGAGGGGAAAGGAAAGAGGGAAAGGGGAAAGAGGGGAAGATAAAGAGGGGAGGGGAAAGAAGGGAGGGGAAGAGTGGGGAAAAGGGGGGAAGAGGCAGGGACAAGGGAAAAGAGGGGAAAGGGCAGAGGGAAGGGGGCAGAGGGTGAGGACAGGGGGACGCTAACTAGGTAAATAAGATCAGCTGATTGGTGGATGATACACCTGGGAACTGGGGGGGAGGGGGGGGGAGAGGCCATGGGAAATACGGGGGAGGGGAAAGAGAGACGGGAAGGAGAGAAGGAGGAGGAAAAGGAAAAGGAAATGAATAGGAAAGAAAGGAAGGAGAAGGAAAGGGAAATGGAAAGGAAAGAAAGGAAGGAAAAGGAAAAGGAAAAGGAAGAGGAAATGGAAAGGAAAGAAAGGAAGGAGAAGGAAAAGGAAAGAAAGGAAGGAACAGGAAAAGGAAAAGGAAAAGGAAATGGAAAGGAAAGAAAGGAGAAGGAATAGGATAGAAAGTAAGAGGCGATATTTCCTTAGTGGACGAAAGGAGGAAGAGGAAAGGAGCAAAGAAGGAAAGAAAGATGAAAGGCGAATGAGTGAGGACGGGAAGCATAGAGGAAGGGAGGAAAGGAGGAATGAATGAATGAGGGGGGAAGGAGGAGACAGAGGGGATGGATATAAGACAAGGAGGAGGGAAGGAAGGAGAGGAGGGAGAGAGAGGAAGGAGAAGGGAGGAGAGAGAGAGGAGAGGGAGGGAGGGAGAGGGAGGAGAGAGAGAGAGAGAGAGAGAGAGAGAGAGAGAGAGAGAGAGAGAGAGAGAGAGGAGAGAGAGAGAGAGAGAGAGAGAGAGAGAGAGAGAGAGAAAGAGAGAGAGAAAGAGAGAGAGAAAGAGAGAAAGAGAGAGAGAAGAGAGAGAGAAGAGAGAGAGAGGAGAGAGAGAGAGAGAGAGAGAGAGAGAGAGAGAGAGGAGAGAGAGAGAGAGAGAGAGAGAGAGAGAGAGAGAGAGAGAGAGAGAGAAAAAAAACTGACAATGAGAAAGACTAAAAAAAAAAAACGTGTAAATGGCAGCCGTAACGATAAACAGAACTGAACAAAAATAAGAACAAAACAGGGAACAAAACGGAGATCATAAGTAAAATGAATAAATAAAATCCTAAAATAAAATATAAGAAAAAACAACAACAACGAAGAAAACAAAGCCCACAGTCTGGCTGAACTTGACTTACTGACTTGGTTCGCTGACTGAGTGACTGACCGATTCAGACCCAAATTGGACCTTGCTGTGACTCACCTTCTCATTCAGAATACTCACCGGTGCTCCGCGTTAGCTGCCGTGACTCACCGACTCGCTTACGGGATTCTCATCAGAACCCCCTCTGTCGTGACTCACCGACTCGCTTACGGGATTCTCACCAGAACCCCCTCTGTCGTGACTCACCAGTACCCCCATGAGTCCTGGTGAGTCTTCTGTGACTCTCCACTCCTTACCTCCTCATTCCTTTCCCTTTTACATCGACCACTCCTCCCCTCCTCATGACTCATACAAACCGACTCACCATCAAAGACGACTCACCTGTTCCTCTCCTCTCCCCTCCCCACTCCACCCCATTCCCCCTCCTCACTCCTCTCCCTTTCCCTTTCCTCCTTTCCCCAGCGACTCACCTGTTCCTCTCCCCACCCCATACCCCTTTCCCCTTCCCCTTCCTCACCCCCCCCATTCCCCATTCCCCTTCCCCTTCCTCACCTCAACCCCCATTCCCCATTCCCCTTCCTCCCCTGACTCACCTGTTTCTTTCCCCACCCCATACCCCTTCCCCTTCCTCACCCCAACCCCTTTCCCTTTCCCGCTTCCCCAGCGACTCACCTGTTCCTCACCCTTCCCTCATTCCCCATTCCCCTTCCCCAGCGACTCACTTGTTCCTCACCCTTCCCTCATTCCCCATTCCCCTTCCCCCAGCGACTCACCTGTTCCTCACCCCCCCTCAATCCCCCTTCCCCTTCCGCCTCGACTCACCTGTTCCCCAGGGGCGCTGCTGCGACTCGTGGATAATGGCCGACACCGACATGACCGGCTTCTCCTTCTTGATCATAATCATGTCTGCGGGCGCGTGCGAACCCCAGTCCTGGTAAGAGACGCCAGCCACTCGGCCTGAGTAATCCACACTCATCCACGCGGATTTGGCGGGGGGGGTGGGGGGGAAAGCCCACGCGTTTCCGGGGTTTATCTTTTTGTTTTGTTTTGGGTCTGCGTCTTGGGGGAGGTTCTTCCCCCTCTCTTTGCTTTTTTTGTTTTGTTTTCTTTTGATTTTCTTGTTTCTATGTCCTTTTTTTCTTCTTTTTAGATCTTTCTTTCTGTTTCTCTTCTTTCTATCTCTCTCTAACCTCTGAACACTTTTTTTTCTGAACTACACTATTTCTTTCCGACAAACACACACCAATTTCTCGAATATTTTCTTGTTCCCTTTCCTCTATCTCCCTTTTTTCCCCCCCAATTCTTCCAATATTTCCTCTATTTCCTCTCCCGATTCGGGCGAAAGGAGACTTAGCTTCACCACGCCCACGCTAGGTAGGGTCCCGTAGGCGTGTCGTAACCAGCACACCCACTCTCGGGCGTGGGCGTCAGAGGGCAAAGTGGGCGCGGGAAGGACAACCCCTTGACCACTTCTTTTTACACTTTTTTTCTTTTTTATCCTTATTATCCTTACGTCACTTCGGCCAAAAGACCTTCACTCGGTTATCCAATTTTCTCGCTATTCGTAAATACACATTAGTCTTTTTTTCTTGTTATTCTTCTTATTCTCTATTCGAATTCTCTCTTTTTTTATTTCCTTTTGCAATGCATTTTCTCGTCTGCTTTCTATTATTTTTCCTTGAGCAGAGCCATTTACGTAAAAAAATTACCTGAAATTGGTACGAAAGAAGGAAGAAAAAGAAAACATTGAATAAATGATAAGGCGAGAAACACAGGTGCGAGAAACACCTGCACGACAACAAAACTAACGTGTTTTCGTCTCTCCCCTGTTTCTTTGTCTTTGTTTCCCCTCCTTTCTTCTCTTTGTCTCTCCCCTTTTCTTCTCTTCGTCTCTCCCTTTTACTCACTGCCCCCGGATTTTCCTTTTATCCCTCCTCTTCTTTTCGGCAATTTTTTTTGTCCTATCACTGGCTTCGTCTATTTTCCTTTCCTCCACTGTCTCTGTTTCTATCTTTATCACTGTGTGCGAACTCCCCCCTTTCTTTTCTGCTGCCGTTTCTCCTACTTTCACCACGCATTCCGTCTCCTCCCATTTTATCTCCTTCCTCGTTTTGCCTTCCATCGCGAAAATAAATTCGAACAGATAGATGGCAATAAGAAAATAGGAAAGAAAAGAAGAGAGAGAAGAGAGAAGAGAGAAGAGAAGAGAGAGAGAGAGAGAGAGAGAGAGAGAGAGAGAGAGAGAGAGAGAGAGAGAGAGAGAATGAAAAAAAAAAATCCTACGCGTGGCCTAAATAAATAAATAAATGCATAAAATCCTCCCTTTTATGGAAACCAACTCCATTTTTAACTTGTTTGTGCTGCAAGCTAACGCAAGTTCTCCCCCCCCCCCTCACCTCTCCTCTTCCCCCCCTATACACCCTCCCCCACACCAACCCCCTTCTCCTCTCCCCTACCCCTCCCCACCTCCCTTCCCACCCCACCCCACCGAGCCACAGCCCCATCCTCCCTCACCCCTCCCCCTATCCCTTACCTCTCTCATCCCTCCCTCATCCCCCCCCACGCCCGTGCCTTACCTCCCTCATCCTCATCCCCTTCCTCCCTCACACCCCTATCTTCCCTCTGCCCCTTCCCCCTCCCTCCCTCCCTTCCTCCCTCCCTCTATCCTTTCTTCACTCCCTCTCCCCCTCCCTCCCTCTCCCCTTCCCTCCCTGCCCTCTCCCCCTCCCTCCCTCCTTAATCCTCCAACACCAAAGGCATATTACCCAGAGGCATCACCCCCCCCCCACCACAATCTCTCCCCGCCCCCTCCCCTCCCCTCCGTTGTCATGGTGACACTCACGCTCTCTAGCAACAGGCTCTGTGACACCCTAAATAAAAAAAGATGAATAAATAAATAAAAATCTGTTTCAATCTCTGTCACTCCGTCTCTCGGTTTGTCTGGCAATCCTGTTTCCACCCCCCCCCCCCTAGGCCTCACCGTGACGTCAGTGATTTCTCAATTCTAAATCCATTTCCCCCTCGGGGCCCGTCTTGACGCTATCGCCTTCTTGTTCCAATAATAATAATAATAATAATGTGTAACTGCATACATACATTATATATAAACACACACACACACGCACACACACACACACACACACACACACACACACACACACATATATATATATATATATATATATATATATATATATATATATATATATATATATATATATATACGTACATATATATATACGTACATATATATATATATATATATATATATATATATATATATATATATATATATATATATATATATATATATATATACACACATATGTGAGTGTGAGTGAGTGAGTGAGTGAGTGAGTGAGTGAGTGAGTGAGTGAGTGAGTGAGTGAGGTGTGTGTGTGTGTTGTGTGTGTGTGTGTGTGTGTGTGTGTGTGCGTGTGTGTGTGTGTGTGCGTGTGTGTATGTGTGTGTGTTTACAAGCGTGTGTGCGTGCGCGCGTGCTTGTGTGTGTATGTGCATACAGCCGCACGAATATACAAAGTAACTCAACCATGTGCGCCCCCCCCTCCTTCTCCCGCCCCGAAGCCCAGACACGAATTTAAACGTCCGCACACAGAAACCTCACGAAGAAATATTGCAAGAAAACAAACAAATGTCGCAAGAAAACAAACAAATATCGCAAGAAAAACAAATATCGCAAGAAAACAAACAAATATCGCAAGAAAACAAACAAATATCGCAAGAAAAAAACACATATCACAAGAAAACAAACAAATATCGCAAGAAAACAAACAAATATCGCAAGAAATCAAACAAACATCGCAAGAAAACAAACAAATATCGCAAGAAAACAAACAAATATCGCAAGAAAACAAACAAATATCGCAAGAAAACAACCAAATATCGCAAGGAAAACAAATATCGCAAGAAAAACAAATAACGCAAGAAAACAAACAAACATCGCAAAAAAAAAAAAAAAAAAAAAAAAAAAAAATTCGCATCTCATTTCCTCTCACCGAAACAAAAAGAAAACGGCACGAAAAGGCGAGCGAATAATCCAATTAACAAAACAAAAAAAACAACAATAAAAAGATAAAATGAAATTACGAATGAAGTAGAAGACAAAAGAACAAGTAAAACAACAAGCTCGCAGATTAACCTCTGACCCCCCCCCCCCCATCTAATTTGGACGAATGAGGAGACAACGAAAACGAGAATAAAAAAAAGAGAGAGAGAATAGGGGAAGAGAGGAAGAAAGAACAACGAGTTTCTTTTTTTTTCGGCGAATAAAATCTTTCCTCATTTCCCTCTTCCCTTTTTTTATCCTCCTTTCCTCCTTCTCCTCCCTTTGGCTCTTGTTTCTTTTTTCCTTTTCTTGGTTCTCTTCTCGTTTTCCTCGTCCTTATTTTTAGCGTTTTCCTTCCTTTCCCTTCTTTATCCTTTGTCCTTCAACTTCCCTACGTCACTTCACTGTCTGTCTGTCTGTCTGTCTCTGACAAAGAAACATACAGTACAGACAAAGAGACAAACAGACGAGGAGACAGAGAAAGACACAAACAGAAACATACGAAGGGACAGACAGACGAAGAGACAGAGACAAACACAAACATACGAAGAAACAGACAGACAAAGAGACACAAACATACAGACAAAGAAACAGGTAAACAAATAGATGGATAGACACTAACACAAACATACGAACAAAGAGACAGACACAGACACAAAAAGGCAAACCAACAAACACAAAGACAGACCTCCACAGACAAACAAAGAATCAGACAAACAGGGACGCCAAACAAAACGGACGAACAAACAAAAAAAAAACGGACGAACAAACAAAAAAAGACAAACACAAACAAAAACACAAAAAAAGAAGACAAGACAAGACACGACAGACACAAAACCATACACACACACACACCCAAACCAACCAGTACCCCCCCACTCCCTCCCTCCCCCACCGACCCACGCACAGCCTACCAAGCTCTCTCGCTCCAGTCCCCGCGCGAAGCCCCCGCCTGGCGCCCCGGGAGTAGGCCTAAGACTAGCGCGCCCGTTCGCCTGTAAACACACATCGCCGCCGCCGCCACGCACGAAGATCAACTCGCGCAGGTTCGGGGTCGTTCAAGTGTGCGTTTTGGGATACATACGTAAGCACCCATACATGTATACATATATATATATAATCATATATATATACACACACGCACGGGAGAGATACACATATACGTTGGTACGTAAATAAGGCAATTACGTACGCAAACACACAATACGACCATACATACATACATACATACATACATACATACATACATACACACACACATATATACACTGTATACACACGGACTAAAGCATCGACGTTACGCGCATGTATACACTAAGCGCAAAATATGTCCCGCGGCTGAGGAAGCGCCGAAGGCCAACCTTCTCCCCGTCCCCCCTCCTCCCTTCCTCCCTTCCCCCCTTCCCCTTCCCCTCTCCCCCCTCCCCCCTCCTTCACCCGCTCCTTGCCTCACACATACTTCCTTATGTTCGTCGTTTTAGTCATTTTCGTTGAGGGTGAAAAACGCGAGTGACGAATGGAGGAGGGGGGGGGGGTAGAGGGGAAAGAGGAGGGGAGAAGGGAGGAGGGAGGGGAGAGGAAAATGTGGGGAGTGGGGGGGTGGGAAGGAGGGTTGTAAGGAGTGGGATGAGAATGAAGGCTAAGGGGGGAGGGGGGGGAGAGTGAGGCTAGCGGGAGGGGGTACGAGTGAGGATAGTTAGGGGGGGGGGGGAGCAGTGGGAGACGAGAGCCATCCTCATGCCTTTTTTTTAAATCCTTCCTTAGCCTTCCCTTCCCCCATGCCTTCCCCCTCCCCTACTTACCCTACTACCCTCCCTCACCCCTCCCTCCTAACCTCCCCCACCTCCCTGAACCTTCCCCCCCTTCACCCAAAACCTCCCCAATTTTTCCCCTTAGCTCCCCCCCCCAACCTGCCTCCATTCGTCCTCTCCCCCCCTCTCTCTTTTCTCTTAACCTCCCCAAAACCCCTTCCCTTCCCCTCCCCTACACCCTCTCCCCCTTAAACCCCTTCCCTTTACCAACCATTTCTTCGTCCACAACCCCCCTCCTTCCCCCCACCCCCCTTAACCCTTCCCTTTGTTCCCATCCCCCCCTCCCCTCTCCAACCCCTCCCCCCCCCTCCAACCCTTCGCTGAACACACACTCGTGTATAAAAGGTGCGATTATTCACCTGGACGTAGCCTCACCTGTGAACAGCGCAGGTGAATAGAGAGGATTGTCGGGGCGGAGGTTTAAATGTTCAGTGCACATAAAACGGGCTCTGATGAACATTTTAACTAGGAGACGAAGTCCCTACAGTTTTTTTTCTCACTGTCTGTCTGTCTGTCTGTCTGTCTCCCTTTCCATTTCCCTCTCCCTCTCTTTCTCTCCCTCTCCCTCTTCCTATCCCTTTCCATTTCCCTCTCTCTCTCGTTCTCTCCCTCCCTCCCTCCCTCTCTCTCGACTTTTCAATTTCCCTCTCCCTCCCTCCCTCTCCCTCTCCCTCTCTATTTCCCTTTCCCTCCTTCCCTCCCTCTCCCTCCCACTCCCCCTCTCTCTCTCCCTCCTCTCTCCCTCTCCCCCTCTCTTTCTCTCTGTCTAGCGAGGCGGACAGACAAACACAAAACCAAGCAGAAAGGTATTATGGAAATGGTGATAATGAAC